ACGGAAAATACCTGTGAATCATGAAAGCCATAGCACTACCCATTCCTTCATTCCTTAGTTATGGGCTAGATTAAAGTTGACAATTGACAGAGAGAGACAAACAAACAGACAGACATAACAAAAACAAAATTCCAACGGGATCTTTCGATCCAGGGGAATCAAAACACTCAAAACAAAAAACAATATATATCAATAATTTAAATAAATAGAATTATTAAAAGAAAGAAAAGTAACCTACAGCTGTAAATAATGTAGTTCTTATAATTAAGATTTTTATAATATTCAATTAAAATAAAAATATAAGATTTTTAATAATATTCAATTAAATGAAGCAACCCTGTTCCGTTGCTATGATATTTCATTTAGGGGGAAAATATACATTGAAAGAGGAAATTCGGACTGTATTAATTATTTTATGGCCCAAAGTCTAATCGTTGTCTGGAAAAAACTGAGTGCACTTTTTTGATGCAAATGAAAGGTCAAAAATTTAACAAAAGAATCATAGGTGTACAATGATTGGTGTTTTTTCTATCTGTTAAATGTGTTTAGCCATCTGAGTGGGTATACAAGGGAGTGCAGCACACCTGTATAAGCGGTCTGGATGGGAGTTCAACTGAGTGCACTTTTTATGCAAATGAGGTCAAAAATACTGGATTCTGATTGGCTGAGCCTCTGGGTGGATGCAGCCCCTGGGGGATCAATTCAGTACATATGTTGGGGGATAATCTTTTTAGTATCTATGTTGCATCATCTTTTTAGATCTATTGCATCATCTTTTAGATTGTTGCATCATCTTTATATATCTATTGCATCATCTTTATACTTGTTGCATCATCTTTTTAATACTTATTGCATCATCTTTTTTGATACCTGTTGCATCATCTTATTATACTTATTGCATCATCTTTCAAACTGGATTTCTTCAAAACAATAACAAATAACACAGATTTTGATTTTTTTTTTCAATTTTTATTCACAATGAAAAAATACATACATCCAATTACATTTTCTTTTTCTTCTGTCCCTTATCAGTCATCAGGGGTAGTTTCCTCTTGCTTTACCTCTCCTTTTTCTTGAGATTGTTTTTCTTCAGGCGATAAAGGGATGCGACAATATACATACACTTTATAAATAGGCCTATCTGTAAAAATTCCTATAAGCTTCTTTTCTTCTCGAAACCTCTTTTCTATCAATTGATGAAAACACAATCCAAGTTGAATTTTCCAGGAACTCTTCTCCCCACAATAAGGCCCACTCATGATCTCCAATTGGTATTTTTGATAACCGTAATATCCATTTTTTCTCTCCTTCAGACAGTATTTTTCCTCTCTGGTGTCATGATTTTTTTCATAATCTTCAGGATCCAATTCCACTCTTTTTACCAACCAAAATTTTTTGTACTTTAAATTCGGTGGCCATTTTAAATAATTTCTGTTGCGTTCATAAAAATTCTGGATGGCTTCTTCTTTAGTTTTCATCCATTTTCCAAAATGTTCTCCATTAATAGACCAACAATACTCCGTTTCCTCTGTCATATTTTTTGTCTGCTCCATTTTTTTACCTGTGTCCAATTCCAAGTACTCACACAGACTGATCGTCCATGTCCAGCTCCGCTTTATATACCTGGGGGCCGTGTGCAAAAAATACCATAGACTTACCTATGCATTGTGACGTCATCCACTGTATAAATACAGGTTTTCTCCGACTTTGAGTTCATTTTATCCTCAGAGCCATCACCTGATAGACATCTTTATTATAGAAAAACAGGTGCATCATCTTATTGATACGAAAAAGTACCGAGAGAGAAATGATTTACCACCTAAACCCATTTCTGAGTATTATCATATGAGACTAGCTCAAAAAAGGACCTCTCCAAAATTTAAAGCGCATGAAAATAGATATGTCGTTCATTTCGATGAATTTCCAGAAGAAGAAGAAAACACAGTTCGTGCAAAAAACATGTTACAAGACTTCAAATCTGAAATGCAATGTAATCCTAACGATTACCTCCGCCTGAACCTTCATCACGATTTCTGGAATCAGACATTTCGTACGAGTTTACCCAATGTAAAGATTTAAACGAAGACGTCATTTTAAAAAAAATACAAGACGTGCAACAATCCAAAAAGGAGTTCAAACTGGGCGACGGCTCCACGAATATCTGTTACACATCAAGTATCCCGAGAGAAAGTGGTGGCCACCTAAACCAAACATTTACAAGTGGATATTTTCAAGAAAAATAAGACTAGCCATCGTTCGGATCGTCTCCTCAAAATTTTGTTTAAAGCGCATGAAAATCGATATGACTCGATTACACAGTCAGAAACCGAATTTCCAGACCCCGAATGGGAAAAACAATGGAAACGCATGAGGTCAGGAGATTTTAAGTCCTTAGACCAGAAACGAGAAGCCATAGCCCTCATGGAACAGGCCGGGTGTGATATTACTCAAGCTTGTGGAGCCCTAGAGTGGCCAAAATTACAACAGGTGTTAGCTCCTCAGTATCAACTGAAAATATTTCAGTTCAAGTCTACTTCGAGTAAACTCACCTTAAAGCGCATCTTCAAAGGCTGGGGAGACGTTGTTTTAAACATTTTGTTCGAACCATCATTACGATGCCATCATATCCATGCCTGGAAAGGATCATTGCAAACGTGGGGTACAGGACTGTCACAGAACATCGTTCCAACGCAGGTAGGTTAAGGTTACAACCAAATATTCTACTTGCCTATATGATATGACGTCATAGTAAGCTATATGACGTGAGGTTTAGAGATAAACAATTTCTAAAAATCGATATCTAAGATTGATCTGAGGTCGTAAAAATGAATCAAAATATGCAGAGGCATAATATAAACGAAATTTTGTCGTTCATGGGCCTCTGTAGTTATCACAGGGGTTACATACCAATTTTGTTGATCATGCAGTAGCAGAGTGAAAGTGAAAACTAACGAGAATTGATGTAAACAAACACAAGAAATCGGAGTTTTAAAGCATTTAGAATGAATATCATGTGTTATTCGTGTGGGAATAAAGCTTATGAATAAGGTATGGTAATATAATTTTGCAATTTCTTCGTAAAATTATAGCAGGGAGGGTGTTTACTTGCCGATCAGCCTTTCCTCTGTCGTTCGTAACAAAAAAGATGCAAAAGTTCAACACTACGCCGCATACCTTGAAACTTAATTTTTGTTTCTATCTTAAGTTCTTATTCTTTTGTTTTTGGAAAGTGCTGCTAGAATCGTATGGTTTACAGGTGAATTAGCTTTTTTTTCAATGTTATGAACAAAATGTAAAAATTTTGGGATTTCAAATTGTTTAATAATTATTTCTATAATAGGACAGTGCGATTCTAGCAGCACTTTTCATGGTACTGAGATGTTTTTACATAACTATTATTACAAATTGAACATGATTAGTGTTAAACTTTTCACTTTTTCATTAAGGCATATGTTCATCATATCCATGGTGACGTCGAGTAACGTTGCTCCTGTAGTATAAGTCCCAATGAAGTCTATAGAATGTATAATTATAGCAAAAGTTTTATCCTTGACTCTTCCGATTTATAAGTGTTACATAATTATAAAAGAGTGTTAATTTGCCAAATTCTGATCCATGTGTTGCCTTAACATACCCGCGAAGTGCCCTCATCGCTGTACCTTTTGTTTAGGACATCACCCTAATTGTCCCGATGAAGGGATCAAGATTAAATGCCAGGAATGCCATGGAATGTTTAAGAACAGGGCCTGCTACGAAAATCATTTAAAACCCCATAGTAAGAAGACCACCACTACTGTCTGCAATTTAATGGAACAATGCGAGAAGTGTCAGTCTTGGATACCTAAGAAATTATTCCCTCATCACAAATGCGGAGGACAGAAACAGTGTAAGATCTGTAAGAAAATCGTCGATACCGATCATCAGTGCTACATACAACAGAAGCCCAAGAAGAAGAAGAAGGGGAAAGGGACCTTAGAGTTTTACATCTATTTCGATTTCGAATGCACTCAGGAAACCGGCATTCACATCCCTAATCTGTGTGTGGCACACCGCGTCTGTCAACATTGCAGTCACTTACCCATAGACCAACCCTGTCCTCATTGTCAACACATGGGACCCCGTCAGCACCTATTTCAAGGACCAGACACCTTAAAGAAGTTCATGGACTGGTTATTACAACCCACTACAGGTACTAAGAATTCCACTTTAGTACACGACGAGGCCATTATCATCGCCCATAACTTCAAAGGCTACGACGGACAGTTCATTTTGAATCACCTGGTGCATTCCTCTTGCCTGAAACCTAACGTCATCATGACCGGCAGTAAGATCTTATACATGGAAATATGCGGACTGAAATTCATCGACTCGTATAGTTTCTTACCGTTTGCATTAGCCAAGATGCCCTCCGCTTTTGGATTCGACGAATTGAAGAAAGGCTATTTCCCCCACTTTTTCAATACGGAACAGAACCAGAATTACGTAGGACCTTATCCACCGGCAGCTTTCTACAAACCGGACGAAATGTCTACCAGTGGACGAAAAGCTTTTTTTGAATGGTACGACCAACAGAGGGGAAAAGTGTTTGATTTCCAGAAAGAGTTTGTAGGGTATTGTGTCTCGGACGTCGACATTTTACGCCGATGCTGTGCACAGTTTAGAGCCACCCTCAAGAGTTTGGTCAATGTGGACCCTTTCCAGGAATCCATCACTTTTGCCAGTGCTGCTAATTTAGCCTACCGTCGACAATTCATGCCTGAAGAGACCATAGCCATCATTCCGAACCTCGGGTATCAACCGGCACGACAATATTCGGCTAAAGCCTGTCGGTGGCTCACCTGGATGAGTCAACAGACTGGATGTCACATACGACACGCCAGAAACGGAGGCGAAGTCCAGATCGGAAATTATACCGTCGACGGATACCAGGAAGCGACTCGCACCGTCTACGAATTTTACGGGTGCTATTGGCACGGATGCCCCACCTGCTATCCCAGTTTACAGACCGAAACTCATCCTCATCGGACCCAATTTACTTACCAGCAATTACACGAAGAAACCCTCAGAAGGACTGGCGATTTAGAAGACATGGGGTATACCGTCCGTGGTATCTGGGAGCACGATTTCGATCAGCAAGTGCAAAAAGATGAGAGTTTACAGCAATTTGTAGGAAACCTGGACATTCCGGATCCTTTGAAACCTCGAGAAGCCCTGTACGGAGGTCGGACCAATGCTACCCGATTATATTGTGAGGAAGGGGACATGAGATACGTGGACGTCTGTTCCCTATACCCTTACGTGTTGAAACACAGACCATTTCCCGTAGGGCATCCCGAGATCATCACAGACGAGTTCCAGGACGTGAGAAATTATTTCGGTCTCATTCACTGTCGGGTCTTACCTCCCCGAGACCTCTATCACCCCGTATTACCTTATCGGACGGGAGGCAAGTTATTATTTCCCTTATGTCGCACGTGTGCCGAACGACAGGACTCTACGTCTCAAGATCGATGTCCACACACCGACCAGGAACGTAGTCTCACGGGTACTTGGGTGACGACCGAATTACATAAAGCCCTAGACATGGGATATACCTTAGATCGAATCTACGAAGTATGGCATTTTAAAGAAAGCAGTCAGGATTTATTCAGATCTTACATCGATACCTTCCTCAAGATCAAACAGGAAGCCTCCGGATTTCCCCCCGACTGTAAGACCTCAGAACAAGAACAAGATTACATATATCAAGTCTTCGACAAAACAGGCATCCGAATGGACATTCTCAGTATCGAGAAGAATCCAGTGAGAAGAACCATTGCTAAACTCTTTTTAAATTGTCTGTGGGGAAAATTTGCTCAACGGTTGTTATTACCCAAAACCAGATACTTGGACGAAGAAGAGGAATTACAGCAACTCTTACAAGATTCGACTCTCGACATCAAGGGCGTGCAACTCTTAGTCAATAAAGAGAACCCCAATGAAGACAAGATGCTAGTGAATTATCAAGACAAACAGGAATTCGTCGAAGAATGTCCCTTTGGAAACGTGGTCCTGGCTTGTTTTACTACCGCGCATGCCCGCTTACACCTCTACGAGACTTTACAACCTTTAGGAGATCGGGTCCTTTATTTCGATACGGACAGTATCATTTACCAACATCGGGAAGGAGCCTTTAATCCTACCTTGGGTCATAGTTTAGGAGAATGGACCGACGAATTAGACGGGGATCACATCACCAAATTCATGTCGGCAGGTCCTAAAAATTATGGTTTTCGGACGGACAAAGGAACCGAGACCCTTAAATGCAAAGGAATCACTCTCAACCATCTTACCTCCCAGATCGTGTGCCCAGAGACTTTAGAAAAAATGCTCAAAGGAGAAATAGAGGAAGTCACAGTCCCTTATCCCGACAAAATCCAGAGGACTCGTGATCATGAGCTCGTGAACAAACCATTAGAGAAAAAGTATAGAATTGTATATGATAAGAGACAATTGTTACCTTCTTATAACACTTTACCTTATGGTTATTGATATGTTGATATGTTTGTTTGTTTGTTATTACAAATAAAAAAATTGAATTGTTTTTATGTGTTGTTGTTTTTTCTTCTTCCCTATAAAAAGGGGGGCAATACAAATCAAAAGTTCAGTGATGACTGAGAAATTGTTAGATCAACCCATGCGTTATCCCCAGTATGCTCGGCTCTCAAAGAGAGAAGCTACTTTTGAGCAGGGATGGCCAGAACCTCTCTTAGGAAAAATACCAGACCTAGCTCGAGCCGGGTTTTTCTACAGGGGAGTGAAAGATAAAGCTACCTGTTTTCATTGTGGAATGATTTTTAGTAATTGGGATCCCGAGGACGATCCTTGTGTAGAACATGCTTATTGGAACCCCAATTGTCCTTACATCAATCTGTATAAGGGACGAGGGTGGGTGATGAATGTGTTTATTACGTGTTTAGAACAACAGGGATATAAACCTTTACCTGAGATCAAACCTCTACTGAACCCACAACCAGACGTCCAGGCTCGAGGAAAATGTCACATTTGTTTAGACGAGGAATTACAAATCGTTTTTCTACCTTGCGGACACGAATGTTGCTGTGCTTTGTGTGCTCCTTCCTTTCAGTTTTGCCCCATCTGTCGAGGCGAGATTCAACAGTCCAAACGCCTATTTCTGTGTTAACTATAAATAAAAGGACAGAACTCAAATTTAGTGTTTTCTATTGTTAAAGCAATCAGACCTAGATTTTTTTTTCAGTGATAAAAGAATGAGATTTTTGAATTATTCCTAATTAAAAATTCTCTATTGGTTTTTTTTCCTCTGCAAGTTAAAAAATAGATACTCCAGTCTCTATATAAAAAGGAGACCTACAAAATCCTAGAGATCATTTCTGATCTGAGTGAGGGACAGAGCACACATCATGGAAGTTTTAAGCTCAGAGTATCGTTGGAAAATAGTAGAACCTGAAGGGACTAGTTTAAAGGGAAGATGGATGAAAAACAAAGAGACATGTATTCAAGATTTCTTTGATCAGAATCCAGGACAAACAGGTCTCCATGAAATCTACCTGTATAAGAGAATAAAGTTACCTGATCCCATAGGGGACAGCATCCTGCTCTTAGCAGGATCCAGACATCCCAAGTATCGGGAATTCAAATGGAAAATCAAATATGTCTTGCCTCACCAAAGAGAGGGACCCGAAAGCACTTTGTTTCGAGGGAAATGGATAGAAAAACCTGGAGATTGTATTAAAGATTATGGTAAGAAAGTGGCCCCCCTATAAAGATACGATATCATTAACCGTGGTAACCGTTGTGAAACAGACTATTTGTACATGAGGAGACCGTTCCCCATACAAAAAGAACTGAAGAAAAGTTTTGAATGTTTATTATTATAATGATGTTCTTGTTCTTGTTGTTATGAATAAAATAAAAAAGAAAAAAACCCAAAAATTCTAGTATTGTTAGTTATTTCCCTATAAACACACAAATAAGCGCTCTCTCTATACATTAGGTTTTGTAAGGATGACGTCACAATCACGGATTTGAATCGCTGCCAAGTATTTTACCTGTGTAGTCAACAGGTCCTAATTTTTTGCACACGTCCCCCTTACAGATGATGCAACAGGTATCAAAAAAGATGATGCAACAGGTATAAAAAAGATGATGCAACAATTATAAAAAAGATGATGCAACAGTAAAGGTATATAAAGCGGAGCTGGGAGTACCCTGCGCTCATTGTATCATTTTGAAAAAGGACACTGAACAAGTCAGACGTGTTTTGTTTCAAAGATGCAGTATCGTTGGTATTGTGAGAGTCCCTTCACTCAGTTCATGTACATGCAAGGAGGGTGGATGAAAACTAAAATAGGAGCCATCATGGATTTCTATGAAAATCATCCAGGCTATTCCCTGGACAATGTGTGGTTGGAAAAAAGAGTGAAAATCCCATCTCTTCGAAGACCTAGAGTGAGGGTGAAAATCAACCAACATTATCACCATTACAAATGGGTCACCTGTACTCAATATTCTATGAAAGATGGGACACCTGTGAACATGGTACTGAATGAAAGTCTTTGGTACTCGGACATCAGTGACTGTGTGAAACATTTTTTCAAGATGGAGAAAAAAGAACTGACTTTTCCAGATTATCACGGCGTTAGGCAGTACTTGTATTGTCGCATCCCCTTTGCCCAGATTAAAGAGTCGATGGAAAACAAAGGACTTTTGTTGACTCGAGTGATTGAGGACCGATCATCAGACGAAGAAGAAGAAATAGAAGTGTAAATCATTGAATAAATTTTTGAATTTTTTTTTTAAAAAAGAAGTGTTGTTATAAATAGAAGGGTCACAGGTCCTTTATTTTTGTTGCTAAAGTATCTCACTGATCAATTTAAACAGGTATAATTTTTTACTTCTTCAATTTTAAGGTATATAAGGTCAAAAGGATTCAATTTCACATGAACACAGTTTCAAAGAAAATAAGTCTGTCTAACATAAAACAGGAAAAAAAAAGTCATAATTTTTTTCTAAAAGGTGCTGTTTTTTTTTTTTGAGAGTGTGCTAATGGTTACAGAAAACTTAAGGAGAGGATACCCCCCTCTTTTTATTTATTTATTCAATTGGACAAAAAAAAACCCACATGTGGTACAAGTCAAACATATAGTAAACAAAAAATAAGATTAAGAATGCAAACCTGCATGGCTTTTCAGTTTCACTCCTGTTTATGTATGGCTGAGGTTTATATATATATTATTCCATTATTAATGCTTTGCCATAAAAAAATGCATTCAGTTGTATGCAGTTCACTTATTAAAGCCTGGTAATCGAAAGGAAAAAAAATTTAAATGTTCAAATTTAAAAAAAAGAAACTTTTAGAAAAAAAAAATGAATTTTATTAATTTAATTCAATTTTATAATTTTTAAAAAAAAAACAAATTGAACTCAATTTTATAATTTATTTTTAAACTTTAAAATACAGGTTTTCCTTGGACAAAAAGAAAGGGATTCAACCCCCTTCCCTCCCCTCTACCCTTGGGGTGTTGGGTAAGAGTAACTTTACACCATCCTCTTTTCATAAAAAGATTATTTTACACATCATGGCCACTATCTACATGAAATGACATGAGTTATAAAGGAAAAAAGGGGTTCTTCCAATGTTCCTTGATTTAAAATGTGGATATATAGTTTTAAAAAATTATGACTACTTGGAAATTTATGGGTCTTTTGTCTTTACCATCCCTTATAACAGAGATTCTTCAAATGTATATGTCTTTTTTGTCTTTAGCATTCCTTATTACAGAGATTCTTCAAAATTGCATGAAGAATTTCATGCGTTTAACTTAATATGATAAGAGCATTTCCTTGGGTTAACAAGTGTATGGATGATAGCCAATGCTGAATCATTATATATTGATATTTATGGATATTCAAGAGTTTATGATATTGAAACTTTAAATATGTATAGGTCAGGTAATGCTTGAAATTTCCATCATCAGAAAATTATATTTGACTGTATTGAAAGCAGTAATTCTAGATAAACATTAATAAGAAGATTACACAAACACTGTAAATCATTCAAAAAATAATAAAACATAAAAAATAAAATGTGTTTTATTTTTTTTTTAAAAATGTAAACTGATATATTTCAATAAAAACCACACATATAGACTTTCCCATATTCCAATAAAGTACCTATTAAACTAAACACATTCTATTCATCTTAAATATTCAGGCAGAATAAAAGGTGAATTCCCAGAAATCTTATATAATCTCTTCTCCAATGTTGAGTGAATGTGTTCAAGTACGACTTAATTTTCTATGTAAATTAGGCGGCCATGACGAATCTCGACAAAGATTTTACCCCAGTGAAAAAGGCTTGTAATCCACCCTGTAGGTCGTTTAACCCCTTCCATGGCAAAGATTTTTAGCATTTTTAGAGAAATTGATATAAAGATTTTAATGCATTTTTTCGGATATTTCTTGTAATTTTTGTAAATACCAATGTATATATATATTCCGAAAGTAGGTATTGTGAGGTTTCTGAAAATGATTATGGAAACATTCTTTCTGTTGCCATGGCAACGAAATATGCCCAAATTACTGAGAAATCTCTATTTAACCTTCAATTAGTTATATATTGTCTTTTTTAGTTCAGTCAAGTATTAAAGTAAGTAAATTTTGATGCTGAGACATAGCAGCATATTGTTTACCATAAGTTTTAATCAAATTTTAAGCACTTTAGGGAGTAAATACAGGATTTCAACATTTTATGCTCCAGTAGGGAAAAGGAAGAATAACGTTGCTTAACAGCTATCTCTCGCAATCACAGACCAAGTATTACTCATTCCATGTCTGAAAAATCCTTTGCTTGACAGACAAGAAACTTAGTACACGTACACTCATGACTGGTACCCCTTAGTAAGTACATGATGACCCCTTTTGAGATGGAGGTCAAAAGGTCAAAGGTCAAACTATTCAAAATATATAAAGATATTAACCATTCAAGATTTTGAAAACCCTTCGCTCAACATAGTATATAAGGTGCAGATCTAAGAAGTCTGATTTTAATTACATTGTTGCTTTTCATACAACAATTTCTGTTCACTGTTATCCTCTGAAGAGTAAATTACTTCTGGTGATTTTTAGTTTGATAGAATGTTTGCCCCTGACCAGTCAACAACTATTTTCTTCACAATAACAAACTCTAAAGCTTTTTTCCAATATTGTCGTGCAGGTATAAATTATACATGTATTTGTTTCTCGAATAATTCTTGTTTTTTTATCAAACTTTTTTACCCTGGTAGGAATGATCATAATTGTTTACAAGTGGTAAATACTTTCAAGTAAATATGAAGATAAAATTACACAAGCAGAAACTTAGATGTTATCTATGGCTCTGGACAAAAAAGAACAGAAAAAAATCAAAGACTTTGAACTTTTATAATTCATAGACTTTTCAAAATTTGAATGAAGTTGAACTTTGATCTATGACATAGCACAATGTTGCATAATTGAACAAAAATTACATC